GTGCGTGTGCGTGTGCGTGTGTGTGTGTATGTGTGTGTGTGTGTGTTAAATTTATGAACAAATAAAAAGATCCCATCTTTACACGGTCCTGAAAAGACTTTGAAAAAAGTCCTTACTTTGCACGATCTTATGTGCACGTATATACATATATCGAAGTATAAGTCGTATAAAATTACGAATAGAATTGTATGCTAAAATCTGATGCGAATTATAGTTCATCTAAAGTAAGCTTAAAAATACAATATTTTATCTTACAAAAAAGTTTGGTTGGATTTGTGTTTACTATCCTCTACATGTTTGGAAACATTTTGATAAATATATGTATGTGTTGTTAAAATACCGTTATTCGCACGTTACTGCGCAAGACATCACATATTTGTTAAATCTTCATGGTATTTCTTCATATATCATGCATCATGGTTTTATTTTTCTAAACTAAACGAAAAACAGTTAATAATATCCTGTGAAAAAATTCTTATAATGTCGTATAATATTTTTAAGAATTTGTCATATCTTGAATTTATAAAAATTCATGATTTACAAAAAATATTTTTATTTTTTTCAAATTTTATAACTTCATTTCAGAAATTATTAGAATAAGAAATTTTAAAACTTTTACTACTGTTTATTTCAGAATTCACATATATAAAGAATTGTAAAAAAGATGTCTTTTCAGTATTTCTAAAAAATGTTCCAATTCGTATAAAAAAAATTTTTTTAATATTTTAAAAAATTATAAAATTATACGGAAAATTTTGAAAGATCTGAAATTTAAAATTTCTGATTACATGAAGAATTATAAGAAAAAATACTTTATCAAAATGATTATTTTAAGCAATAATTATTTAAATGCCAATTATAAAAAAAAATAAAATGTAAATTTATGATTTATGACAAATAAATGTTAAAAAATGACACTGTATTACAATGGTATTTTAAAGTGCGTAACTGCACGTGTATTGATTTATAGGCCGTAGTCAGAACTTTATGAAATTACGTACTTACTGCATATTAGTTCTTTCAGAAAGATTTGTGACACGAGACGCGTAATAATGAAGCCCGTACATAAGCAAGTATACGACCGTATTCGATGTTATGTCGACGTATGACAATGTACGATGCATGTGAAGTAAATTACATGCAAATAAATGCAAGAGTGCCTCTCACTAAAACGTGCTAAAAGAATTATAGAATTGATGTTCTTGGTAAAAAGAAATTCTTTTGATATCTCATCACATTTTTAAAAATACTTCATATTTTAAATTTATAAATATTTCTTAAAAATATATTAAATTTTTTAAATTGTAGAATTTTCTTTGATCTGACAATAAGTTTTCTTCGGAAAATAAAATGAGAAATCTTAGGTCAGTATTTTGTAAATAATCGTAAAAAATAATCTTTGATTGAAAGCGTAATTAAAGATTCATATTTTAGATTCACAGATCTCTGTTTTACGAATCTGTGTTCAAAAAAATCTGTTATTTATACTTACGAAAATTTATTATTTATCTTTAATTTTCTTTAATTATTAGCTCAAATAATCATAGATTTATCATAATTAATACCATAATTAATGACTGCTCTTCTGTTTGACATTTTCTTTAAAATCTCTCTCTTTCGCGCGCGCACGCTCTCTCTCCGTGTGTGTGTGTGTGTGTGTGTG